AATTTATAAATTCAAAAAAAATATATTTCAGTAAATAAATTATATTATAGTATTTATTATAAACTACATTAAAAATTGCCAGCATTTGGGATTACAGAGACAATACCATTGTGGATGAATCTAAAGGATTCCTCGACGCAAAAACCTTCCGTTTCCCAGGACTCTGATTACTTGTACCAATACATAGATTATCAGGACACGAACGAAAGCGACACGAGCACGTTGCTGCCCATCGTATCTACCATCAGCGTACCTACTCAGACGGTGAAGATCATTCACCCATCATCGCAAAAACCTCAAGTACAAAAGAACGCCACGTTGCCAGTAAAAAAGAACCCTATACCACCGTCACCCAGTAGCTCCGGTTTTACCTTCTTCGGTCTACCTCTGCCGAATTTAAACTTTAATCTGTGGGGACATTCAGCCAGAAAGGCAGAGAGAAAAGAATCCTCATTGGAATCGTCGTCGCCGTCAGATAGACCTGGCCGAGGACGTTACAGGTCTTTTCCGCCTACGGAACCAGAAATTCATAGAGGTGGTTTTGTGCCTCTCCCACGCGGCCAAAGCGGATTTGTGCCGATCGTCGATCCTAGATTGACATATGAGAAACACATGAAGCATGAAAATACTTCAAGATTAAATGTAAGCAATACATCGGTACAGGAACGTTCTGTTCTTCGAAAAAGCGGAAACAGCACCGTGAACAAGGTGGAGAAAATTGTCCCCAGGACCGGGAAACCGCGGACAAGCTTCCGAGAAAGAGAAGAACCACCCACTACATCGACATTCATTCAATCAACGAGTTTCGAGTCTCGCAAAATTTTACCCAACGTTAATAGAACCAGGTGGTCTAAATTATTTTTTCTTTTTCGATGTAACTTTCTAAATTTAACATTTCAGTAAACAATTAAGCTATCATTATATGTAGGTACATCACTATTTGAACGTCAAAATAATAATAAATAACGTCAGTTTATTTGCTGAGAACAGCTTGAGTCAAGATATTCTCCAGATTTTTTAATTAATTAAAATAAAAATCTTTTTATTTCAAACGATTTAGAGAGATTGAAAAATATATAAACATATATTTTGATATCTTAATTTTAAAAAATGGAACTTTTTAAACTGTTTTAAATTTAATGTTGTTATACTGATACTTACATTTACAGCACAGTTAATCTCTTCAAACCTTTCTTTTAGCCTTAATATACCAAATACAGTGAAAAATAACGCGCCGATAATCGTAGAAGAAGACTCATCACAAGAAGCTCATGAAACATCAGTGTCCACTGAGATTTATGATGGCGAAAGTTTAGAAGTAAATACGGAAAATGTTAAATTCATAGAGAAGCCGCAGATGGAAGTCGCTAACAGGATAGTTTGGACTACACCAAAATCAGTAATAACGGAAGCAAATAAAGTTACAACTACTAAGGAAACTGTAACTGCAGCGGTGGAGGTAACACCGTCAAAAGAAGACGGATCCAAAGACTGGAATTTAGAAATATTTATACATGAAAATGATCCAACTGTTTTAAACAGTACAATTGATTCTCATGAAAAACCTGGTAAGTTTATATCCACGTGAATAAAAAAATTTAATAAAATTTAATTTTAAAATGTGTTTCACATGCACACATTTTGTTATGAAATTTCTTCGTTCTCGTCAGATATATAATTAAGTTTCTATTAAAGAAAGAGAGAGTATTTTATTTTTAATTAATAAGAGTGACTAATGATTTATAACTATTTGACTAATGATTTACAACTATTGAGGTGCAATTCATCGTTAAATCTTTCGTATCATAATTTATTTAAAACATCTAACAAAAATATTTTATTTACTGCAGATAATTTGGATGTTGTGACAGAAATGGATACGGAACCAATTTCGCACTTCTCAGCACCCATAACATCTTCTACATCGAATCCACGGCCTAAAAAAACAACTGTAACTTCTCGAGGAACGGAGGCATCTGCTTTGTCCGCACTTCTGGTTCCGGGGGGACAAGTACCGTCTTCGGGATCCGTAATAAATTTACGTCCGCTTGGTAGATCTACGATAACCAAGGTCGCCTCGCCGTACATTAGCTACAGTACCGAACAATCCAGAGAAAAGCTGAAATCGATCGCTGGCACTGTTCAGAGAAGCGAGATCAATGAGACAACGACCGAAAGCCAGAACGATATGTTCGTCAATGACGAAGTCAAAGTGATAAACGACAATCCTTTCAATTGGTACTTTCAGCATTATAATGATACAAATTTGGAGCCTTACGTAGGCATAGCTTACAGCAGTGCTGCGAAGATCGATACTTATCGATGGTTTCTTTTGCTTATGGTTTTCAGTATTCTGATATAAAAAGATTTGAGATTTAGATTATTTTTTTAACAGACAGATTAATCGCCTGTATCACATGAGATAAAATATATCGTAATATTTGTTAATAAATGCTGTGGTGGATGTTCCAAATCATAAATGATACATGTACAGTCATATTATGTATACAGTGCAAGAAATTTGCAAACGTCTATATTCTGCCCAAAACATGTACAAGAATTAAAGATCATGCATATACATATCTGCTTTTTTGTATAGATATTCTTTTGATAAAGAATATAAATAGAAAATATTTCAATATCGATGATAAATTAATAAAACGATATATATATGTAAGTAAAAGACTATTTTTATTAATGTAATATATTTTCTTAATAGAATGACTTACATTTCCTAAAAATACATTATCCAAATCTATCACACATGTTAATTAAAACTTAAATTTTAAGCAACATGCTTAAGGCAATTTAAAAGAACACACATCGACTGTTTGTTACTTGTTGATCAATGGATGAAATCAAGAAAAAATAAATGATTGTGCTTCTCGTATCGAATAATATTGTTTATATTAATGGATTGTTAATTAAAACACTGAAAATAGTGTAATGATTACAATATTCTGTAAAAATGTCTTAATCCTAAATTTTTTGATATATTTACTACATCATTCATTACATTCAAAGTACAGAAGTATTAAGTTATTATTTTTTCTCTTGCGCCTAATATATTAAAAACTCACAAAATTATGCCAGAACAATTCGGGAATCAATTTGCTGCATCTAATACATATTTAAATTGTCATTATTTATAAGTGGGATATCATTCTGTACAAATAGCGAACAGACTTGACTATTACGCACAAAGTCATTAATTGTCCTCAATTTTAACAGTCTTAACTGAGCAAGCTCAGAAATTCCCTGATCACTGACTTTTAGCTTTCGCCTTTTCCTCACCTTTCTTCTCTTCTTCTTTCTTTTCTTCTTTCTTTGTGTCCTTCTTTCCATCTGTTTCTTTTTTCTCAGCATCACGATTGGTTAGCTTATTGTTAATTAAATTGTGCAATGCAACTATAGACCTAACCAATGCTGCTAGATATACAACTAGCATCTGATCATTTGTCTTTATATATAACGAATCGACGAAGCTACTTTGAGTCATATCTGGTAATAAATTAAAGATATCTTGAAGCTGATAAACAATTTGATGATTTATAGGTAATTTTCCATTGCCAACCTAGAAAAAAAATTTATTTGAGTATACCTTTTGACAATATCAATATAAAAGTAATTTCTTTCAAAGATCAAAATGTATACCTGAATTAGGTAATCTCTAATTTCTCGAATTTGTTCGTGAAGACCTTTTAAGCCAAGTAATTGATTTGTGATTCTTTGACTGAGGGTACCAACTGTAGTATCTTTGATATCTCGCAACAAATGCTCCACTCCGACCTCTTCTGCTTCTTCAGCTCCAATTTCACTTGGAATATGCTCAAACGTTTTGGAGGTAGGAGAGCCATCCTACAAATAAAATTCTCGTTACATGTTTACTTTCTTTAAATAAACAATAAATAATACATATACAAAAACGTACGTCGTGTACTTCTTCAATTGCTTGATACGCCTCGGTAGGAAGTCCAAGATCTTTTGGTTTGGCATCAATAATTACCAAAACCGAATTAGAACAATATCTTCTTATTAGTTCATTAATGGAAACATCATTTTGATGTAGCTTAGGTCCAGTATGATACCAGCCTACTACTTTCTCACGAGCTAAAAGTCAACATAGAATATCACAATCAAAATTTTTGCTCCAAGTAAAACCTACAAGACTTGCATAAACTAAATATAGATCATTACCATTAACTTTCTTGAACATTCCGTACATATTTTCAAGGTAATCATGGTCAAGGAACCACACAGTTTTGTCCTTGTCATCTTCATCAAAGGGTACTGAAATAAACGTTTATCTCTTTGTATCACAATTAGTTTCAAAAGTAAGGACATTTATTCCTTATGAATTTATGCGCATTAATATAATCAGTACAGCTTGATGTCAAATATAAACGATTTAAGAAACAAGTAGCGTGTTTACATCCTAACCTGCAAAACTGTTCGATACATCCAAGATTCCTTTGGCTCTCCAGCAGCCTAAAAGTACACCTACCACTCTTTTTTGGTTTCCGATTTTTCCCATACGATTGAAATGATCTACCACGCTTAATAGCACTAGTGGATGGACCACAACCTTCGTTGTTACGACTTCTTGACTCGGCATTTTTGGACCCACGAATATATATCGCTATGCTACTGACACTATTCCATTACTCCAGTCGGCAGCTAGTCGCCACTGATCACGGTTATTCGAAAATAACAAGAATGGCGTGTTGTATGTCAAGTGATGTCAAGCTCGTCGAAGCGCCAAATGCAGACAACTAGACAAGAGAAAAAACGCCAATATTTATATTCTGTTCGATATAAAATAATTGAAAGTCATTCCAGATTTTAAAAGTAAAATATTACGATATATTTATATTGTTTTTTATTATAAATAATGTCTATTTCTTATTTGATTAGTGAACGAGGATTATGTACTTTTCACGATTCATCCGAGTGAAGTTGGCCAGCTTGATCGAAAAATCAACGTCAGCGTATTGATTACAGTGGTTTTGTTGGTTAGAAGTGACTACAGGTTTACAACATAAAAGTACTTCAATTGAAAAGGTAATAAATTCCTTTCAAATTAGAAACATCAGAAGTATGGCTAATAAAAGTAGTTTACATGATGTTTACATTATTTTAAAAACAATTCGTAATAATAGAAATTCAGCATGTCGAGTATATTGAAATGCATAATGCGTACTTTTGCCACAGTATATCGCTGTGCTTTTGCACTGAACTGCACTGAACTGCACTGATTAAACTATAAGGTCTGTTCTTTCTATCCACTGCAAGAGCTGCCAACAGATAAAAAAAACGCGCGAGATTAAAAAGAAAATAAATAATGATTTGGGGTGCGTTCCGTTTCATGCATGATGCGCACAATGTATCGTTTATCCTTGTTGCTTACCAAACGTTAAACAATTCATGTATTATGCGCGAAACGAAATGTACCTATAATTAACAATAAGATTATATAACAAAATTAACAAATATATAATAAGTAAAACAAATAAAAAGTGAGAATCTTATTTGGTCAAATCTTTGACTAATTTCTAATGAAAATTCTCATATCTGATAACATTAAAAAAAAATTTTCATATTTTAAATTTACGAAAATTTCTAAAAATACCTTAAACCTTTTCAGATTTTATAAGCTTTCTTCAGAAATTATAAAATAAGAAATCTTAGAATATAGTATGTATTTTTTAAAATTCACGTATATAAAAAAATTCTTAAAAAGATATAAATCCAGACAGACTGCAGTTATAGATATTTACAAATTATTAAATACAGTAAACGAGAATATGAATTTAATTTGATTGAAATAAATTTCTAGCATTTCTAAAAAATGTTCCAATTTAAATAAAAAATTTTCTAAAAGGTTGTAAAATATATTAAATAAAAGTTCTGAAAATCCTGAAATTTAAAAAATTATATAAAAATGATTAATTTATAAT